TGCAACTACATGTCAACTAACTCTCATTAGAGTACTAGTAGACTGTTAGGTTAGGGTTAGTAGAATAAGTTGTACTTCTATGTGTGTTGGGGAGCATCAAAATAAAGTGTTGGCAGATATTATGCTGACAGTCTAATATTCTAATGACTGCTAGTTGACATGTGAAGTTACTTATACAGTGGCATGCGAAAGTTTGGGAACCCCTTGCAGAATCTGTGAAAATGTGAATAATTTTAACAAAATAAGAGAGATCATACAAAACGCATGTTATTTTTTATTTAGTACTGTCCTGAGTACAATATTTTACATAAAATATGTTTACATTTAGTCCACAATAAATAAATAGCTGAAATTATTAAAATAACCCCATTAAAAAGTTTGTGAACCCTTGGTTCTTAATACTATGTGTGGTTACCTTGATGATCCACGATGATCCGTTTTGTGATGGTTGTTCATGAGTCCCTTGTTTGTTCTGAACAGTTAAACTGAGCACTGTTCTTCAGAAAAATCCTCCAGCTCCTGCAGATTCTTCAGTTTTCCAGCATCTTTTGCATATTTGAACCCTTTCCAGCAGTCACTGTATGATTTTCACATCCATCTTTTCACACTGAGGACAATTGAGGGACTCAAACACAACTATTAAAAAAGGTTCAAACATTCACTGATGCTCCAGAAGGAAACACGATGCATTAAGAGCATGAAGATCAAAGTAAACTGTACTTAATTTGTCTTCCGGGAAACATGCAAGTGTCTTCTGTAGCTTCTGAAGGGCAGCACTAAATTAAAAAAAAGAAGAAGATATTTTCAAATATTCAGATGTGTGCAGCGCATTTTATGGAGGACTGTTTCCTGATCCTGGTAGAGTAGACTACAATGCCGGCTGTTCTGACTCACAGCCTGTAAGTAAGTTTTTTATATTTAAAGAATTACTGCCATTACTCGTGGTTACTTACTGGGGCCGTCCCATTCCTCTGCTGTCAGTGGGCTTGGTTGGACTCTCTCTTCTTGTCCGTCACTGTCTTGTTGTTCCACCTTTAAACTTCCGACCATTTCACCTGTATAAAGACATCAAAGCTTAGGGGTTTCGCGGGTACAAATGGCTAAACTGTAGCAAACTGGCTCTCGCACTGGCAGCAGCTGTTCAATGTCTTTCATTTAAAACCCTTATTCCTTGTAATTCCAATGTGCAGTTTCTCATTTTGGATTCTTTCAAGTGTCTGCTGTGGGATTTTATGCTCGTTTCTTTGGAGAGAATAGAAAAGAGACAGAGAGCAAGTCCCTGGACCCACCTTGATCACAGACCGGCTGCCTGTGTTAAGCCCTGTGACGAAACTTATTGGAAATGTTTAATTACAGTGTTGGGAAAGAAATTAAGCTACAAGATGATTCCTTAATTAAGCTGTGATTAAGGATTTTCTGCCTTTGGCTCTGACACCATGGGCAAAGTACTATTTAACACCGTCACAGGCAAGAGAAGTTAACTCCAAGAGCAGGCCTATTTACCTCAGATCCTCACACAAAACTTGAACTGAATAAAAACAGGGACAGAGCCAAGTATTAAACCTTCTTGAAGGGACAAGACAGCCAAAATACCACTTAAAAGCTGGTGCATGTTCAAACCAGGGGGTTTCATGTATTCGGACAAATTTAGAGTAAAAAAAGAGCGACATATTGAAAAATATGGATTCCAGTAGGATTGCCAGAAATCGTCGAGTAGATTACGTACAAATTGTAATCCATTACTGATTCCAAATTACATGACAAAAATTGTAGATAGTAATGTAATCCACTACATTACACATTTGATTACTTTTAGATTACTTTTAGATTACTTTGGACATAACTCGTTTATCACATTGATTTAAATAGAGTTATCTTGTACCATATTGATATAAAAATATAAAGAGAAAGAAAATATATTAATAATATATTAAATAATGAATTGCTATTGTGTAAATAATATGTAATCAATAAAAAAGTAACTGTAGTCTGATTACGAGTATTTTCAAATGTAATCTAATTACAAGTACTTCTTTTTTCAAATCTGATTACGTAATCCAGATTACATGTAATCAGTTATTACTCAACAATGTCAGCGAGCGGGTGCTGATTTTCCTCAAAGCACCTTATCTGGAAACATGACGTTTATACTTATCCATCTATTTGTTCTAGAGTAATTAATCAGCTTTACTGCCTGTACTAATGTAATTATAAATATTAAATCATAACTGCCATTATCTATTGTGTTATTTTTTAAATTTTCATTAGATGGTTCACATATTGACTATTCTACTGTATGACTTATCATATAGGTAATAAACCTCAACTGGAAAACTGACGTTCTTACATATTTATTTATTCATGGTTGAGTAATTAATAAGCAAACCTACAGTCCTGAGAGCGGCTCGAAACGACCTAGCTCAGGAAATCATAAACGGTAAATCATAACTCATTTTCATCAGGTATAGGTGTCATGATCTATACTTTTCTTCTTGACATTTCCATTATACGGTTCACAGATTCAAAAAGCAATTATGTGATCAAGTAGAGGAGAAACAAAAATCAAGAAAAACAATAAGTATTCAAAAATGTTTCCTCGCTGCTGCCCTTCAAAACTTAATAGGTCAAAACATGCGAGGAAATGAAAAAGGGTTGCACCTCTTGCTATTCAACAAGAACAAAAGCAAACCGGCACACATCGTTCCACCAATTTTCGAAACAAAAAAGCACAAGTGATTGTTCTTTTGAAGATTGCACGCTTGCAGGCAAATGCAGGTAGTTTACGCACATCACTTTTGCCGTCAAAAACTTTTGGACGTCAGGGAGCCCGAGACAGGCATTTCAAAGAGAAGATTCATCATTTACAAATAGAAAAGCATAACGTTAGGATGCGGAGTGAATTTCAAATGGCTGGGGGGGCTCTGAATTATCCCGTTGTGACGGTGAGGTGTGGCCGGCAGAAACGCCTGTAATTGAATTTCAGTTCAAAGAGCTGATGCTATTAGCTCGAGTTTGATGGTGGAGGCCTGCAGCAAATACCAGCAACTCTGTTGTTATTTACTATGACCAATAACCCTGTTAGTAACATATACAGTAGGTCTTCCCTCAAAATGCCATATTTCTTCAATCTTCTCTTTCATATTCAAATTCAATTTCAGCACAAAACCAAACACTGCTTTGAGCCAAAGGGGCTGCGGTGGGAAGGTGGGGAAAGATTGTGGGTTCTAGAAAAGGTCTGATACTTCTAACAGTTATAGTGAAACACAATATGAAATATATCCGTCTATAGGATTACAGTACAGAAGTGTTTGTTTACATATTAAAACAAGCCAATGTGATTTAAAATGATGAATTTTATGTGTAATGTGATTTCGGCAACACTTTAGATTAGGGAACACTACTCACTAATAACTAGTCGTTTATTAACATGCATATTACTAGCATATTGACGGTTTATTAGTAAAGCATGTATTAATGCATGACTACATTCTAGATCACTTGACCCGACCCCATACCTAAACATAACTTCTACCTTACTAACTATTAATAAGCAGCAAATTAGAAGTTTACTGAGGGAAAACTCTTAGTTAATAGCGAATATGTAGCTAACTATTAACTATGACTTTTGCCTCAATGAATTCCTAATTTGCTGCTTATTAATAGTTAGTAAGGTAGTTATTAAGTTTAGGTATGGGATCGGGTTAAGGGATCTAAAATGTAGTAATACAGAATAAGACATTAATATGTGATTTATAAGTACTAAAAAACTGCCAATATGCTAGTAATATGCATGCTAATAAGCAACTAGTTATTAATGAGAATTGGTCCCTAAACTTAAGTGTTACCAGTGTTACCGTGATTTCCAATTGATTTTCAACCACATACTTCTAACAGTTATAGTGAAACACAATATGAAATATAGCCCTCTACAGGATTACAGTACAGAAGAGTTTGTTTACATATTAAAACAAGCCCATACATGTGATTTAAAATGATGAATTTTATGTGTAATGCGATTTCGGTAACACTTTAGATTAGGGAACACTACTCACTAATAACTAGTTGTTTATTAGCATGCATATTACTAGCATATTGAAGGTTTATTAGTATTTATAAAGCATGTATTAATGCATGACTACACTCTAGATCACTTGACCCGACCCTATACCTAAACATAACTACTACCTTACTTAATATCAATAAGCAGCAAATTAGGAGTTTGTTCAGGTAAAACTATTAGTTAATAGCGAATATGTGTTCCCTAAACTAAAGTGTTACCCGTGCGGGTCACACTTTAGTTTGGGGACCAATTCTCACTATTAACTAACAATTAACTATGACTTTTGCCTCAATAAACTCCTAATTTGCTGCTTATTAATAGTTAGTAAGGTAGTTTAATAAACAGCCAATATGCTAGTAATATGCATGCTAATAAGCAACTGGTTATTAGTGAGAATTGGTCCCTAAACTAAAGTGCTACCGTGTTACCGGGTTTTCCAATTGATTTTCAACCACATACATGTTTTCTCTGGTTATCTTTAATGGGAAATGAGCTCACCGTTCCTCGAGTGATCTCCATCTTTAGAGACGACGTTCTCTGGGTCAGAGTAGTAAAGCGGGTCGTCCTCCACAGACCCGTCTTCTTCTTTCAAGATCTCTTTCTTCTCCGTCTCCTCAGAGTCAGTCTCAAGCCCATTTTCAAACACTCCTGTCAAGTAACGGACAAACAAGTGCACAACATTAGCACTTCAGAAGACGCTAAAGTGAATTCCCCTTTGTCTTCACTCTTGTGAAAACGAAGTACACTTTAATACACTTTTAAAGAGAGTACTTTAAGGACATAGTATACTTTAAAAGAATATACTTAAATGGTTTTGGACACTTAATAGCATGTTAATTGCATAACATTTATTAACAGTTTAAATTTAAATAGTGCTTTTTTTACCCATTTAAGTAGGACTTAAGTACATCTTTATAAGTAATTTCATAATTACTTCTATTGTCTTTGAAATATGGTTAAAGTTACTGCTGAATGTAGTGACAATCATTTATGATCAACTAAAATATACTTTAATGTCATTTCTATTGAAACTTGTATGCCATGAATTCAAATTTTTATGTAATTGCACATTTGTGCATTGCAATTTAGTACATCTAAAATATATCACATCAAAATAAGTGTATTTCATTAAAAACAAAATGATTTAAAATGTATTTTAAAGTAAAACTTTGAAATTACCTTTTAAAGTGTGTTAAAAAAACATTTATGGAAGTGAACTCTCAAGCACACTTAAGTGGCTTTTAATTTTATTAATATATTATCCGCAAGTAGAGTTTTTTTTTTTTAAATATACTTTTTGAAGATTTGAATTATATTACAAATGCACATTCAATATTATTAAGTGCACACTTATTTTTTTTTACAAGGGCATTGTTGAGGCAGAAAATCAGGTAGCTATATAAAATATTAAAATTGACTAGATTTGACCATTTTCGAAAGATGTGTTCGAAAACATGCAAGCATTTATCCACAATCAAAGTAAGTCTGAAAAGTAACAGCACATCTCTCCTCAACAAGCCACATGACATGTCCATCAAACACTGCAGTATGCAAACACAACTAAAAAAGTCATATCCCACCATGGACCTCGCAAACTATGACAGTATATCTGTTTTGTAATGTTTCTGTACCTTCCATAACTATAAATGAACACAACTGCAAAGTGTTCGAGCAAAGCCAACACAGGAACAGATCCAGAGCCTAAGGTTACGTCTGCTCCGAGATAACTTATTCACGCAAGCAGCGGCATTGAAGGTAGACTTAGCACACTTTCTTATTAATTTGTCTTATCAGTGGGTACAATGTTGATTTTTCATTTGCTTGCCATGCCTTTGGGTGGTACACCCGTGCAATCACAAAGTTCATTTTTCTCTGTTTGATTAATTTCTTTCCTCCGTCAAAAAAAAAAGACATTGGCTACATTCTATCAAGAGAGTCCTTTTCCCTTCCAGCTGTACATGTACTTTGATATTTGCATATTAATGTTTTTTTTTTTTCTTCAATCAGGGGGCATGGAGGAATAGAACCCACCTGAACGAAATTAAACAGACGTGTTTCACCTTTGATATTAAAAATATTCTGGCTTCGACTTTTTATGTTTACAGGGCTGAAAACTGTAAGGATGAATGTACATTCAGTGAAAAGTCTGTGTGCAAAACTGTCTCCAAATGTGAACTAAATCTGACAAAACCTCTAATAGAAAATCAATTAATGAACACAATAGGTGTTGTTTTTTTACTCTAAAAATTGCTAAAAGTTTTAATTTAAGGTTAGGTTTTGTCTGTATTTCTACGTTGTGTGTGTGTGTGTGTGTGTGTGTGTGAGTAAACCCTTTCCTTTCATTACGAATGGCCCCTTTGTAGGAGGGCAGCAGTGACTGTGTGCATGAAAGCAATGGAGACACAGACGCATTGAGAGGAGATGTGCTGAACAAGGTCAGAGTTTTACCACATTTGATCTTGTAGCAAAAACAAAAATGTCCAGCCTACACCAGATGACAATATTACTCCTCCACGGCTCATGAACAGACTGATGGAGCTCTCGCTTAGGTATAAACTTTGGTATAAACATATTTCATTCCTAGTATAAATGATTGTAGTCTTTAACAGAGACTTATTACACTGTTAACCCTTACTGAACTGTAAAATGACCAGTAACTTAACTGTAATATGCATTGCATCATGGGTAGTTTCAGTGACCTTGCTTATAAATTACAGTAATCAGTAATTTTACAGTTCATGAATTGATCAATAACTGTCAATAATAAGGTACTATAATTGTAACTAAATAAATCTGCGAAGCTCACAACATCTACACAGTTTTTTCGGAGGTGTAAATAGATTATTAGAGTAAATTTTATATATTTATGTGCATTTTACAGTTTTTCTACTTCAACATTTCATGTTTAATTCAATATGTTACTTGCTGTTTCTTTGTAAATTTACTACCAATTTTTGTGAAAAAACACTCATTTTTTTCAGTGTATACAGATTTATAGATATTAATAGAAACTAAAGATATAATGATGTGTGATTTCTAACCTATGGGTAATTCTAAAATGTTTGAAAATATTTAGTTATTGTCATCTTCACATGCTCTCGGGATTTGATTTCAATAAAATCAGTGAGAAATTGTGTTTGCCAATTAATTTGACCTTGTCATAATCCAAACAGTATATTCAACAAATAATCATGTTGAGCAGGACTTTTTAATTATATCCATCTCTAATTAATTGGATTGTTAAAACAGGCTTGAAAAAATGATGGGCTTGATGATGTCAGCAAAATGGAAGGGCAATTTGGAGGAAGATTGAGTTGTTACTTTTTGATTAGAGTTTAAAAGGAGTTTTTTTTTAATAACATGCATTGATCAATTGTACAAAAATATAACGTGAAGAGATATGAAGACAGTAAATAGGGTCCATTTTCATGTTGACAAAAAGGTCACTAATAAAACGCAGACGTCGTTTGCAAACAGTGTCTAACCTCCTTCCAGCAGAACACACTGCACTTTAACTCCAGCTAGCCGCTCAAACACCCAGACAGTGACACACACACACACACACACACACACACACACACAAATAAAGCAGAAAACACACAAAGTGAAATATGCAAGTATGCGGGCATGATCTGAGTGACTGCTAATTTCATGCTTGGATTTGCCGCTCGCCTGCGATGTTGGAGGCGTGTGTTTGCATGGTGATAGCGGCCCGGCTCGGTATCAGCTGGCTTCAGTGTAGAGCCATGCTGCCCCGTCGCACACCGCGCAGCCAAAGCAGGACGCTCTCCAGCGCTCTAATTACACCTGAGCTAATTCAATCTGACAGCACCGAGCCGCATGGAAATCAGCCTTCTTTTCCCCGCCATTCTGGCCTGTTCCATCTATTCTGCTATTTTACAGTAGAGTTTTTACATCTGACCAAAGATTGATGAGCAGGAATGGCATACTACCAAATATTTTTGAAAGAAATAATGCAGAATGCATACATAGATTTTCTATATGCAGAGAAAATTACTATATTTGACTAAATATGCAGCAGTACACATAATACTGTGCAGAATACTGTATCCCACAATGCAATGCGCTCAACTTGACCTTCCATTTCCAGTTTGATGAATAATTAAATAAAACTAATATCAGCTTTGGTCAATTTTAACACTTTTATTGACTATTACTTGATTGGACTTGATTCAAAAGTTAAAACACATTTACAAACAAAATGGAATAAAAAAATTGGGTTAGAATGACCCCAAAATTCAAAATAGGGAACAAAAATGTTCCATTTAAATGTTTGTCTTATATTTCTATATAAAATAGTTAAGCAATTAGCAATATCACACGAGCAAGCATGCTGTTTGTCCCGAATATCAGGATGACTGCCAATGTGATATTGATTTTATACAACAGTTCAATTAACAAGTTAATATTGTGAGTTACATTTTAGGCACCATGCTGTCAAAATTGTCTGTTTTTGCTCTTTGAAATGTTTTTCTTTCCCAAATGAATCTGCATTTTTTAACAAATCAGTGATTCAATGATCCATTCATAAAGGCAGTCACTTGCTTCATTCCCAAATGAATCTGTGTTTTTGAACTAATCGATGATTCAATGATCCATTCATAAAGACAGTCACTTGCATTGTTCCCAAATGTATCTGTGTTTTTAAACTAGTCAATAATTCAATGATCCATTCATAAAGACCATCACTTGCTTTGTTCCTGAATGCATCTGTGCTTTTGAACTAATCAGTGATTCAATGATCCATTCATAAAGACCATCACTTGCTTCTTTCCTAAATGAATCTGTTTGTGAACTAAATAATGATTCAATGATCCATTCATAAAGACCATCACTTGCTTTTTTCCAAAATGAATCTGTGTTTGTGAACTAAATAATGATTCAATGATCCATTCATAAAGACCATCACTTGCTTCTTTCCAAAATGAATCTGTGTTTGTGAACTAAATAATGATTCAATGATTCATTCATAAAGACCATCACTTGCTTCGTTCCCAAATGAATCTGTGTTTGTGAACTAAATAATGATTCAATGAGCCATTCATAAAGACAGTCACTTGCTTTGTTCCTGAATGAATCTGTGTTTTTGAACTAAATAATGATTCAATGATCCATTCATAAAGACAGTCACTTGCTTTGTTCCTGAATGCATCTGTGCTTTTGAACTAATCAGTGATTCAATGATCCATTCATAAAGACCATCACTTGCTTCTTTCCAAAATGAATCTGTTTGTGAACTAAATAATGATTCAATGATCCATTCATAAAGACCATCACTTGCTTCATTCCCAAATGAATCTGTGTTTGTGAACTAAATAATGATTCAATAGTTCATTCATAAAGACCATCACTTGCTTCGTTCCCAAATGAATCTGTGTTTTTGAACTAAATAATGATTCAATGATCCATTCATAAAGACCATCACTTGCTTTGTTCCCAAATGAATCTGTGTTTGTGAACTAAATAATGATTCAATGATCCATTCATAAAGACCATAACTTGCTTCGTTCCCAAATTAATCTGTGTTTTTGAACTAAATAATGATTCAATGATCCATTCATAAAGACCATCACTTGCTTCGTTCCCAAATGAATCTGTGTTTTTGAACTAATCGATGATTCAATGAT